GAGTGGTTACTTATGTAAGAAGAGATTTATCGGCTAGATTAATTGAAGCTGATGTACAAGGAAGATATGTTATTATTGAACTAGTGCTACAAGGCATGAAAGTTGTTATTATTGGATTATATGCCCCTAATCAACAACAAAAAATATTTTATAAGTTTTTATATCATAAACTAATTCAATTGGATTATAAATCTGTTATTATGATGGGTGATTGGAATGGTGTTTTGGATTCAAGTAAAGACAAGAAGGGATCTTTCAAAAATTCTCCTAATTATTCTAAATTACCTAAAGCCTTTTTTGATTTGAAAGATGATCTGGAATTTAGAGATATTTGTTGAGAATGGAATGTGGAAGATAGAGACTTTACCTTTTTTTCGGATAGGCATCACTCATTTTCCAGAACTGATTTTTTTTAATTACTACTGATCTTTTCCTCAGGGTCAAGAATGCTAAAAATTTTTCTAGAACATTGTCGGATCATAGCCCTGTATGGTTGGAGATATGCTGAAGATGGGAATAGAAGATCTTGGAGACTGAATGAAAATTTATTTAGATATGAGAGGCTTTCGCAGAAATATAGACAACATTTGAAAGAATTTTTTGCTTTGAATATGCATAAAGGTACTTCGATGGCTTGGGATGCTAGTAAAGCTTATATGAGGGGGCTTTTGATTTATATGAATAATGGATATAGGCGTAAACAGATGCAAAAATGTAAAGAGCTGGAAGAAGAGATTAAATTGAAGGAAAAGGCTTTTATTTTGAACCCATCAGATAATAGATTAAAGGTTTCTATAAATATGTTGAAAGAGCAATTTAATATGTTAATGGCTGATCAGATTACAACCAATTTGCATTATGCGAAAAATAATACGTTCTGTAATGCAAATAAGCCTGGTAGGTGGTTAGCTTATCAATTACAGAAGAAACAGAAATCATGTATTATAGAGAAAATAGAATATAAAGGTAAAGAGGTATATCAACAAAAGTTGATTAAAAAGAGTTTTTTAGATTTTTATACAAAATTATATGCTAGTGAAAATACACAAGCTTTAGATATAGATAGGTACCTACAGGCAGCACATTTTCCTAGACTTTCAAATAAGCAACGAAAGGAGATGAATTGTTTAATTACTTTGTAGGAAATTATTTGGGCAATTAAACAGTTAAAGGGGGGTAAGGCTCCTGGTACAGATGGATTATCAGCAATTTATTATAAAATATTATCTGTAGAGATGATAGAACCATTAAAGGAACTTTTTAATAGTATCCAAATTGGAGGAGAAGTGCCTCCATCATGGAGAAGGGCTTTTATATTGCTGATTCCAAAGGAGGATCAAGACCTTACCCAGCCTAAGAATTATAGACCTATATCGCTTCTGAATACAGATTATAAGATTTTCTCAAAAATATTGGCAAATAGATTAATGCAAGTATTGAAGCAAATGATTCATAGTGATCAGTCTGGATTTATAACTGGAAGATATATGAAATATAATGTAAGACAAATTGTTAATTTAATTGAGTATTTGGATAAGAACAACCAAGTCCCTGTGGCATTGATATTTTTGGATGCTGAAAAAGCTTTTGATCAGTTGAATTGGCAATTTTTATTGAAAGTTGTTGATAAAATGAATTTTGGGGATAAATTTTTATATTCTCTTAGGGCTATATATCAACAACAATCGGCACAAATCATAATAAATGGGGGATTAACAGAGACATTTAAAATTGAAAAGGGTACAAGACAGGGATGTCCACTATCGCCATTGTTGTTTGTTTTAACATTGGAGATTTTACTGATTAAAATTCGTGAATCAACTATAATAAAGGGAATAAAAATAAAACAGAATGATTATAGATTGAGAGCTTTTGCGGATGACCTGGTTGTGACATTATCTCAACCGATTCAATTGGTTTTAGACTTGATTGAAGTTATAACTCAATATGGGAAAGTTTCTGGTTTTAAGGTAAATAATAATAAGACTAAAATATTATCTAAAAATATGACTATGAAGGAAAAGGAAATGTTAATTCAATTGACAGGTTTCGAAATAGTGAAAAAGGTTAAATATTTGGGAGTATATATTACAGCTTCTAATGTAAAATTGTATAAAAATAACTATGAGATATTATGGTTTAAAGTGCAAAAAGACTTAAACAATTGGAAAAAAAATACAATTATCCTTGTTGGGGAAAATTTCAGCTGTTAAAATGAATGTTCTACCAAAGTTTCTCTTCTTGTTTCAAATGATACCTATTTTGAAAAAAGATACCAATTTGGATGAATGGCAGAAGGGTATTAATAAATTTATTTGGGCGGGGGAAAAAAACAAGAATTAAATTTAAGATCTTACAAGACGCACAGGAAAGAGGAGGACTTAAGGCATCTAATTTGAAATTATACTATGATGTGGTGGTTTTAACATTGGTTAGTGATTGGCTTAATTTAACAAATAAAAGTATACTTCATCTTGAGGGATGGGATCTATTATATGGGTGGCATGCATACCTAATTTATAATAAAAAAGTTGACAAGGTTTTTAAATCTCATATTTTAAGAAGTGCTTTATTGCGTGTCTGGAAAAAGTATTATTATAAGTTAAATTATAAAATACTAACCTGGGGGATTCCTGGACACGCGATAGAGGGGGTATCTATGGGTGTGAATTTGGATAGGATTTCTTATAAGGAATTACTTAGATTGGTAGGGAATGATTGGCATTTAAAATCATTAACTGAGTTAAAGCAAGAAAATATTGTACAGTCTTGGTTTCACTATACTCAATTGTTGGTTAGGTGGAAGTTAGATCAAAAGGTTGGTATTACATTAATGGAGGAGAATTTGGTGAAACAGATCAAAGATCAAAATCGAGCGCATATAAAGAGAATTTATAATGCTTTAATAGAATTGGATTTGGAAATGGAATTAGTTAAAGATTGTATGGTAAAGTGGGCACAAAATATTCAAGAACCGATTTCACTGGATATATGGGAGGTAATTTGGGTTAGAAATGTAAAATTTGCTCAGGCCCAAAATTTAAGAGAAAATTTTTACAAAATGTTTTATAGGTGGCATCTGGATCCTAAAAAGTTATCTGGTATGTATCCTAATTTACAGCCCAAATGTTGGAGATGTGGTAGTTTGGGTGCTACTTATTTTCATATCTGGTGGACTTGTAAAAATATAAAAGCTTTTTGGATTAAGATTTGGTGGAACATTCAAAAGATTTTTAAGAGAAAGATAAAGTTTACTCCACAATTATTTTTACTGGGTGTTATTACAGATTGTGATACTAACGAAACTAATTTGATGTTGAATTTGATAACAGCAGCAAGGTTATTGGTAGGGCAATATTGGAAGAAGGATTGTTTGCCTACTATAGAAGAATGGATGCTTAAAGTATCAAATTTAGCAGAAATGGCTGAGATTTCTGCTTATTTGAAGGATCATTCACAAGAAAGATACATTTCGGTTTGGAGAAGATGGATAGATTATATTCAGAATAAATATGGGACTAAAAAGTTCCACTTAGTTTATGAGTAAATCTTAGAGTATTATTAATAGTTTATTATAGTGGAATTTTTTTATTAGTTTTAATTATACGATATTATTATTATTAGTATTAGTATTGTTTAACAATTTTTATTGTTTAATAATTAGTTTAATAACTAGGATATTATGTTTATGTTTTTATTATTATTATGTTTACTTTTAATTTGTTTATATTTATGCTAAAGGGGAGTTAAAGCGCATTATGGATTTGGTTATTTATATAGTTGGCTAATGTTAGTTAGATTATGATTATTATAATTGTAACCCTGTATTCAGCTCTGGGAAGTGGGGGAGGGAGGGGGGGTGTAAGGTGGTTTGGTTTTGGGGTTTATATTGTAACTTTTATAAAACTCTTCAATAAAAAAAAACAAAGGATCATCCATGCTTCACACAGGAAAGAAAAAGTGAAATTGCTAATTCTTTCCCCTGCCCTACTCTGTATTTCAGTATATGCATGTATATCTATTGTTTAGCTCATAGATATTTTTAAGCTCTGCATTCAATCACAAAATGTTTTATAAATTTCCACTGAATGGAATGACGATTGTATGATACCATGGCTTTACAGCCAGGTTCTTCTCTCAACAGCCTGCAACTGAAGTTGTACATAATTGTTTTGATTTGTGTACGAGAAAGAAAAGAGAGGGGGAAAAGGATGAGAGATGGGGTGAAGTGAAAGTGTAATGATGTTGCCTATGAAGTATGAAGGTTTGCCAGAACTAGGTCATAGCTTTTTGGGGAAGTTGTAACTTTGAGTGGTTGCTATGTGACTGGTTGTTAAGTGAGAATTATCTGTACAATGACTTGAGATCTAATAGAGGGGCACAGAAGGTCCATTTTCAAGATGGTTGCCCTGTGAACTATGTGTAAGGGAAGTGTAATTTTGCACACATGCGCTGTAGAAGTGGAAGATGAGCCCTTCCCATAATGTATGAGGTAATTATATGGATTAGCCCTTGATTTACTTGGCCTCTCTAATAAAGTAGTAACTGGTTATATCTGGGAGCAGCCTTGATCAGCATCACATTCTTTAGGAAGGAAAGATAGTTTAGATGCTTCCTCTCTGTATCCTGGACTGAGGGCCAGCAAGAAGGGCAGAAGCAGTGAGCTATGGTCTTTTCTAGGCAGGACAGTGAATACAATGCACGGCAACATTTCTCTTTACTGCTGCCCCACAGAAGAAACAGACCGTTATATGGAAATAACAACTGAAGGAGGCAGGAAAGATGCAAAAAGGGCCTTCCGGATTCTACTTATATTATTTTGGGATGAAGTTAGAGAAATACCAAACTTGAGCAAAAACTAGCGGGCACTTTCCACTCTGCGAGGTTGCGTCTGGGCCCACTCGGTTCACCCAAGAAGCTGCCAGGAGGAGGAGGCAGGTCGGTGCAGTCGAAAAGGCGCAACAACGAAGCGGGACGCGGGCAGAGTGGCAGAGAGCGAAGAACCGCTTCCGCAAAGTTTTTCCTTTCCAAGCATGGAATGGGCGGAGAGAGAGAGAAAAAGGACCTGACCTCCCAAAGTTAATATCACGGTAAAGGTGCTTTTGGGGGGAGGCGACGGTTATTTTCAGCGTCTATTTTAGCTCCTTAGAGATCTGGCTCTGCGCATTTGGGTTCAAACGAAGTCAGTGATCGACACGCGCCTGCCCTTAAATTGCCGGGGGCGGAGGGATCTTTTTGGCAACAATCCTCCTTCCTCATCTTTTGCCTCCTACGAGTAAAACGTGGGTGGCGGGTGAGGCACCCATTTGAGACACTCCATTTCTTTATGCTTTCAGGGTTGCGCGCTAGCTTTGCGGAAAGGAGGGGGGCAGCTTTTGCAGGACTCGGCGGAGAGGACTGGCAGATGTCCCAAGCGAGAGAATCTCTTCCTTCGGGGCCTAATGGGCCAGAGCGTGCCACTTCGGCGGAAAGCAGCTGCCTAACCTCGCTCTCTTGCGGTGAGTTGTTGGGAAGTTTTCTTAGAAGTACGACGATCAAAGCGTAACCGCAACCCCCAAGTTTGGATTTGGGGTTTTCTGCCCCTCCGAGGCTTGCCTATGCTGGTCCCGCTGGCCTATGCCGGTCCCGCAGTAGGACGTGGTGTTCCACGTTTCACTTCTTCCCGTGCCTTTTCACTTGCACTTCAAAACACGTCCCAAAAACTCGAGCTCCTCTGTCGGTCCCGTTTTCCTGCCCTTTTGTTGCGGCGCCTCCCTCATTCCTAGGCGGGCTGAGGAATGCAGGAGTACGTGAAACTTCACTCACCTAATAACTCTACTGAAAGGGCTGGGTGGGAAGTTGTGATAGGCTTGTTTTCCTTCCTGGCCTTCCTCCTGCAAGTATTTGCTTAGGTAGCTGACCTGGAAGGCAGTATTGGCGCCTTGAAATAAATGTGAGTGATTGGTTTTCTTTCATTGCGTTAGATGTTAAGTTTGTCTGAAAAACAAATAGTTGAAACAAGAAGGGTTAGAAGATGTTCCTATGATAACATTATCCTGGTGATAACCCATAAGTTATGATAGGCTCTTCTGTTAATGAAATCAATCAGCAAGTCAATCAGAATACAGCTGGCTGGCTTAGTCGGCTTTCCTCCAGATTGCGGCTGCCTCTTTTGATCAGAGTTTTGCAGCGGCATTCCACAGTATGATGACCCTCCTTGCTTCATTTGAAGCAGGCTGTCAGCAGGGGAGCACAGCAGCGGTCTTTGCTGCTTCTCTCTTCTTCTCTGGAGTGGACTGTTTCCACAGTTTTCCAGAGTTGTACAGGTTGTGGGCTGGTCAATCTTCACCTCTTCGGCCAGGAGACACCAATCCTGTAATTGAATTGGGGCACCCCTAGCCATGCATGCATTTTACAGGTCGTCATTCAGTCCATCCTGGAAACAGCTGATTAAAATGTCTTCAGGCCAGTTAAGGCAGCATGCCAGGTCTCGGAATTCCTCCATGTACACAGCCTCAGTTGAACCCCCTACCTCACGGTCTTTATTCGATCCCGGGCCTTCCAATCAGCAAGGTGGTCTTCAAACCTGTGTCTCAGGGCGGTCATGAAGTGGTTAAAGTTTCAGAGCTCTGGTCCATGGTAGTTGTGCAGGGTAACCATCCATTGAACTGCGGTTCCTTCCAGGGCTAGGTGATGACCTTGACTCTGGCCTCCTCACCAGGGAGTGTTCTCCCATACAATTGCATGTAGGTGAAGACATGAGCCAGCAAGAAGCCCAGTTTGCTGGGGGTCTCCATCAAATTTCACCCTTAGGGGGAAACAGCTTTGATTCCTCCAGTGGGGCTCTCCCTCTAGGGGCTGGTGGAACATTCCCCCCTCTGGGGGCTGCAGGCTGTTGTGCCACTGGGGTGGCTGCCATCATTTCCGTAGATCCAGTTGTCCCCACTGCGGCTTCTGTTGCTCCTGACTCACTATACCCAAACTTGGTTTCTTCAAGTTGATCCTTTCTTTTGTTCTGGCATTGCCTGGATTTTGTCTTTATGTCCTCAAAAGGCTTCCACCATGTATTGCACGGCTTGTTTCAGGATCTGGTCGGTCAATTCCTGCTCTCCTTCGGATTCGTCCCTGTCATCGGAGAGCAGCTCCATCTCCTGCTTCCAGCTTTTCTTCCAGCTTCCTCGGGTAAATGTTACTCACTGGGCTTTTTCTTCCCACTCTTCTCTCTTCCCTATCTCAACCATCTTGGCTTCACGGGGCTTTCTGCATTTGCCATTTCCTCCATTCACCCGAAGGAGCTTTCTTCTGGGTGGGTCTTTGCAGTGGACTCTCTCCAGCACTCAGTCTCATCTTGTTCACTGCCATGGAGGGACATGATGTGCATGGTCCCCACGATAGGGTGGTTGCCTCTGTGGGTTGACCTTTTTGCAGATCTTGCTTAATGTAAGCTCCTGCCTCAACTACTCCTCCCAAGAAAGCAGAACTCTTGAAACAGGCATTGTTTCAAAGGGAACATTTATTGAGAGATAGTGATAGCAAAAGAGGAAAGCAAGATCTAAAGTTTTACCAATGCAAATTGCTACATTAAACTTTTATTTCACAAAACCCCTCCCCAGAGCCTCCAGCCAATCCACAGGTGCGAAGTTGTTATGGGAACCAGAGCTGATAAGGGATGGTTCCCAGGTGCTTCACCAGATCTCACAACGGAGTGGAGATAAGGCAGATAGCTCCTGGCACAATCCATTCCCCATTTCACACTCAAAGAGATACATCAAAGTTGAGGAAGAACAAAGTAGAGGAAATACATCCACAAGCCCCCCTCCCAACAGAGAAAACCCTCCTCCGTCCCACCAGAATGGCAGAGCCCCGAAAAGAAACACTGAAGGGGTTTCTGACAGGGACATTGTTCTTTCCAAAAGTAATACTTTTACTGAATCCATTACATTGGCACAAAAGAAGCAAAACCACCTCTGAATTTTCCATACAAAAGTCCGTATAATTAAACATGAATTCCCCCTTTGGACACTCCCCTTAGTCCATTGCATTGTCCAGTCACCTATGCTCCATTTGTTATGGGAACTGTCTGGATCGTTCAAACACCTGCACAGCATGTCCTTGAAGAGGTGGAGCAGAGCGGATGGATTCTTAGCATTCCACTCCCACCCCAGACAATTCAACCCCCCCTCCCTATTGTTGTCAAGTTGAGAGCAGAGAAGAAACTAAGTGAAAAGCACATCACTCTTGACACATACATTGAGGTGTTCTGGTGTTACCCACATTTCCTGTAAAGTAGTATCCCCTAATTATACTTCTGCTAGGTAGACCATCACTGACGTTCCAATGGAGGTCATTCATAACAATCCCATTTTTGTCCCTCACGTGAGCCTGAATCTTGACTGAAAGGGATCCAAATAATTGACTTTGTGCAAGATCTTAGCTGTTGAAGATGAATTCCTTTCTCTAAAATATTACCACAGAAGAAAGAAAGGGGATTTAGTAAAATTTTTCTAATGTCATAGATTTGGAGGTAGTTTCCTCAACCACCTATTGAAACCTAAAAAGATCCATAAGGTTTACTGTAGACTTTCTCTATGGAACTATGTTTTCAATAAGAATAGAATAGAGCTGGAAGGGACCTTGGAGGTCTTCTAGTCCAACTCCTTGCTCAAGCAGGAGATCCTATACCATTTCAGACAGGTGATTGTCCAGTCTCTTCTTAAAAATCTCACCCACAACTTCTGAGGGAAAGTTATTCCACTGGTTAATTGTCCTCACTGTTAGGAAATTTCTCCTTAATTCCAGATTGCTTCTCTTCTTGACTACTTTCCACCCATTGTTTCTTTTCCTGCCTCTGGTGCTTTGAAAAATAAGTTGACCTCCTCCTCTGTGTGGCAGAATCTCAAATATGGAATTGTACTATATAAAAAAGACCACTGTATTGCTACAGAAATGCACAAGACCAAAGATGAAAACCTCCTAAAATGCATATGGGTCAACATAAAATAAAAAAAGAATGACATTGCCATAGGTGTATACTACAGGCCAAGCAACCAAGCAAAAAACCTCAAAAAACAGATGTACTTTTTGCCAACCAATTAACAAATGTATGTAGGAAACACACTACAATAGTAATGGGGGACTTCAATTATCCTGACATCAACTGGAAGACTAACTCTGCACCAAATAAGATAAACTAGAAATAAAAGTTAAAATAAGCAAAAAAATGGTAAGAGAACACCTGATATAAATCACCAGGACTTAATGTATGACATCCCAGAGTTCTAAAGGAGCTGGCAGATGTCTTCTCAGAACTACTGTACCATATCTTTCAAAAATTCTGGAGCACCAGGGAACTACCAGAGGATTGGAAAAGAGCTGATGTGGTTCCCATCTTCAAAAAAGGAAAAAAAATAAACAGACCCAGGAAACTACAGACCAATCAGCCTAACATCAATACCTGGGAAAAGATAATCAAAAACAGATCTGCGAATATCTAGAAACAAGTAAAATAATAACTAAAAGTCAGCGCTGGTTTGTTAAAAATATATCATGCCAAACTAATCTTATTTCATTCTTTGACAAAGTGACTAAATTAATAGACCAGCGAAATGCTGTGGACATAGTAAACTTAGACTTCAGCAAGGCATTTGACAAAGTAGACCACAACCTACTCCTTAGTAAGCTAGAAAAAACGGGATAGATAGCATCACTACCAGATGGATTTGTAACTGGCTGACAAACCATACTCAATGAGTAGTCCTTAATGGTACTACTTCTACATGGAGGGGAATAAGGAGTAGGGTACCACAAGGTTCCGTCTTAGGCCCAGTATGCTTTAATATCTTCATAAACAACTTTAGATGAGGGAATAGAAAGGGAACTTACCAAATTTGCAGTTGATACTAAGCTGGCAGGAATAGTCAACTCCCTGGGTGATAGGCTCAAGATAGATCTTGACAGATTTGAACACTGGGGTCTACCTAACAAAATGAAATTCAATCTAGAGAAAAATAAGTCTTACACTTAGGCAAGGAAAACCAAAACTACACATAGATTGGGTGAAACCAAGCTTAATAGCAGTAACCATGAGAGGGATCTTGGAGTCTTACTGGACAATCAATTAAATATGAGCCAACAGTGTGTGGTGACAGCCAAAATAGCCAATCCTAAATTGCATTAATAGAGGGATTCAATCAAGATCACGTGAGGTACTAATACCACTCTAAAGCTTTAGTAAGACCACACCTTAGAATACTGCATCCAGTTTTGGTCTCCACACTATAAAAAAGAAGCTGAGACTCTAGAAAGAGTACAGAGAAGAGCAATAAAGATGATTAAGGGACTGGAGACTAAAACATATGAAGAATGGTTACAGGAACTGAGCATGGCTAGTCTAGTGAAGAGAACTGTAAAAACCATGCAGTTAGGAATTCTTTGAGATTAAGTACTGAAATACTGGAATACTGCTATGTTCCCCCCAGTCCTTCTTCTCTCTAGACTAGCCAAACCTAAATCTTGTAAA